AATGATTGAAGAGTTTTTAAGCAGGGGAACGATGTGATTTGACTTTGTATGTGTATGATAAAAAGAATACATAACATAAAATGTACCATTTTAGCCTTTTTTAAGTGTACAGTTCAATGACATTAAGTACATTCACATTCTTGTGCAACGATTACTGCTATACATCTCCAGAACTTTTTCTTCATCCCAGAGTGAAACTCTACTCTAAACTTTAAACTGTAATTCTCCATTCTCTCACCTCCCCAGCCCCTGGTAACTATCATTCTACTTTCTGTCTCTGGATCTGATTAGTCTAGGTACCTGTATAAGTGGAATCATGCATTATTTGTCTTTTTGTGTCTGGCTTCTTTAATTTAGTATAATATCTTTAAGGTTCATCCATGTTGTAGCTTATATCAGAATTTATTCCCTTTTAAAGCTGAATAATATTCCGTTGTATATATATACCACACTTTGACTGTTCGTTGATAAATACTTGTGTTGTTTCCACCTTGCAGTGCTGCAGTAAACATGGGTATACAAGTATCTCTTTGAGGCCCCGCTTTCAGTTCTTTTGTTATTATACCCAGAAGTAGAATAGCTGGCCAAATGGTAATTCTGTGTTTAATTTTTTAAGGAACTATCATACTATTTTCCACAGCACCTGCACCATTTTACATTTTTACAGCACTGCCCAAAAGTTTCAATTTCTCCACATCTGCACTGACACTTCTTTGCCAGGGGCTGGGGGGGCTAGGTGGGTGTATAATTGCTGTAGGGGAAGAAAAAAACTTTTTCATCTACCTCCTTAGGTTCATTGCCTGGGCTTTGCAAACTAAACTGACAAAAGATCAATTAACAGAAGACAGAGGTTTATTTCATATGTAAATAGTGGGCATCACAGAAATGAAATGAAAACTCCAAAGAAACAGTTAGTCCCGAGAGCTTATATACCATTTAAACACAGAGCCATAAATGTGGAACTATGACAAGAGAAAGTAAAAGGAATTTGAGCTTCTGGAGTCAGTAAATTGTGGGCAGGTAAATAAATGGGGGATACTAATGGAAGATAAGGTTTGTTTTAGTAAAGTGTGTACAGTACAGATTTGTCTCAGCGTCAGTTCCCTGTCTCCTGTGATAAGAATGTTTTCACCTTTCTCAGTGGAAATTCATGTCTTGCTTTTAGATAGAAAGTGGGAGGGCTGGGAACCATTTCTGCATTGGCTATTTCTTAGTTACCTTCCACTGAAAATAATCCTTATGCTAAAGTGGCATAATTTGTGGCAATCCCATATTCTGATGCCCTTCTGAGCCATTCTGATGGATGTGAAGTGGTATTTCATTGTGGTTTTAAGTTGCATTTCCCTAATGATTAGTGATTTGAGTATCTTTTCACGTGCTTATTGAACATTTGTGTATCTTCTCTGGAGAAATTAAAATTATGATTTTTTAAATCATGACTTTCGTTTTGCTCTGAGGAAAATGGCTTGAAGTAGGGTTGGAGAGGAAATTGGGAAACCACTTGAGAAGCAGCCACAGAAATTCACTTGGAGATAATAGTTCTTGGACCGCACTGTGCTGCCCTCCGTCAGATCCAGTACTCCACAGCTACTTCATTTAAAGTGGTCTTCTCTCCTTAATTCTTCTACCTTTAGGCCATGGGGAGTATAATTCCTTTTGTAATTTATGCAACTGGGTGAGTTCTGTACCTGGGAATCCTAAAAATATTCAGGAGTTTATCTAAGGTCAAAATAATACTGATGATGAAGAATGATAATGATTTTATTTTTGCCTTTAAAAACTCTCCAGTTGTTACTTGGGACAGATACGAAGTTTTATCTTTGCTATTCCCAAGACAAACCCTTTTCATAGTAAATGTTTTACTCATCTCTACAGAAAAATATCTAAGAAACACAAGCAAGTTACAAAGTAATTAAATTTCTTACTGTAGTAGTCCCTGTAAAAGTTCCTGACTTCCCTCTGAAATGGTCTGTTTTGATTTTGTGAGGGCAGTTCTGAGCACATTCCGTATAGAGTCAAGGCTATGAAGACCTTTGGTGAAGGCCTCTTTTCTGAATTTGATGGTACAATTAGGTAATATGTAGTCAGCATAGAGCAATAAAGGTCTCAATGTTTGCAGCTTAGATGTTTGGGTCCTTCACACTGAGAAACACCAGTTTTAAACTAGGCCCCCTCTTCCCTGGGATTTATTGCTTTGGGGGCATATCCTCCTCAGTATGCTTCTGCCTTGTCCACTACGAGTGTTTTCTCTCTGTGTCCCCATTTAAGCAAAGTTCATGTTCATGATGGTGAGCAGCCTATCATCCTTAAGCTTGTACCTCCTTGGAAGGATTTTCCTCTTATGGATTAGGCTCCCTAGGTTTGACTGTTGTCCTCCACTAGCCAGCCCCACCTCCTTCCCTGTGAATCTCCTGTTCTCTGCCTAATGTCATTTATAGTTTGGGATTTGTCACTTTTGTGGAGTTTTGTAAAATCTAGGGGTTCTAATAGGGCTGAGTTTAAGGATCTTTTTAAAGGAAAGGACAGATCCTGAATGGAGATGCAGATTCTGAATTTGTGGACTTGCAGCTCTTCCCAAAGTTTAGACAAGTGAAGTCAGTGGGCCTGGGTAAAAATCTTAGGCAGGGCAACCTCTCAGAGCCTTAATTTGATCATCTTTAATTTCTTTGGGCGTTATGCAAATGTTAAGTGAAATACCCCTTGTGAAGTGTCTATTTCAGAGTTGGGCACATGGTAAGAACTCAGTTCACTGCTGCGGTTTCTGCTGCTGCTGTTTTATTGCCATTGCTGTAAAAGAGGGGCAGTGGTTAAGAGCCTGAGCTTTGAATCCTCTACCTCTATCCAGTTGTATGACCTTGGGCAGGTTATTTAATGTCTTTACCTCAGTTTTTTCACTGAGGAGAATATGGGGTGTTCTGAAGATTAAATAAGTTAATTCATGTAAGGAGTATAGAACAGAATCTTGTACAAAGTAAGTGATCGTAGTAATGGTTGTTGCTGTTATTTAACTGAAGTGTACCTCTTTGCCTCTGGTTTCAAGTTTCTTCCTTTTTGGCCTTGCATGTGTGTAGTAACATAGAACCTTCTAAGCTGTCATTTTAACTTTCCTTTGCCAAAGTACCTTACACATCTGTATTCTCAGTTATCTGGTGATGTCACTTTTCTGGCTTTATTATCACACCAGCTTTAGAACCCTGTTGTGACTGCTGCAGGACAGATTCCCAGCTGTTCTTTCCACGGGGTGCTAGGTCAGATGACGTAGCACACAGGTCAAACTTGAAAAGACATAGGAGCCTGTAAAGATTTATAAAGGAAGAATAAATTTAACATACAGGTGTAAAAGACTTCTAACATTTTGTTTGGGAATCCAGAATTTCTACTTTCTGAACTTAAATGTAAAATCTCCGTAGAAAAAATATTAGGTAATGTTTATCTTAACTTTGCTAAGCAAAGTTTAGTAATCCAGTATTGATATTAATGCTGTTGTTTCAATAAGACCCGAAGTAGAAGAAAATGAGTTTATTCCTGATTTTTAATGCAGTTATTACTTTACCGCAGTAATTAACATACCCAGTTAGTGGTATAGTCATGCTTGTAGTGAGGTTTGTCAGGATGGGTACACTTCAACAAGGGTAGATGGCTGTTGTTCAAACCTGGAGCTCCAGGATTTATTAGATGTGTATCAGGGACTGGGTAGCAGGGTTGGGGAAAGGAAGAGTGGGAGTTCCCTGAAGAGCAGTTGTCAAGGCAGAAGAAGATCCCCCACTAACACATACTTCAGAACACACGCATCTACTAGGGAAGCTTTGTATGTGTTTTGTATCTTGATACTTTGCATAAGATTATTAAAAACGATTTTATTTTACTTAGAAGAAGGTTTGAAAACACCTGTGCTAGAAAGCAAAATTCTAGGGCAGAGCCCTAGTTTCCCAGCTACCTAGTGTATATGCTGGCTCAGTTAATATCTGCTGAAAGTGATCGAATGCTCCGCAGAGTTTATTGATACTGTATTCATTTCTAGTCTTATCCTCAGACTAGACTTTATTAGTTCAGTTGTGTGATTATATCCTTCTAAGGGGGTTAAAATGATTTATTTGCCCATACTACCACAGGAAGTTAAACAGTTCTTAAGGATTATTTTCATTAAGCTGTGAAATGCACTTTTTGACTCCAGGTATATTTCTACCTAAAGAATTTTACTTCATTAGGCATAATTGAAGAGTTTTCTTCACTGGAAACTTTGGTAATTCATGTACATTATTACTGTCCAGGTGTTTGAAGATTCCATGACTGTCATCACCTTTCTGTTTTTTTTTTAAAAAAATTAAGTATAGCCTTTCATTTTTTCCTTAAGTTATAAAAATACATACTTGCATCATTTAAAATTTAGAATTCTAAATTTGGAAATATAAAAAAATTTGAGCACTTGTCTGGCATAAACCTAAAAGTATAAATTAGAAATTGTAACTAATTTTTCATCTTAGGTTGGATGCTTCTTAAGATTGTCCCATTGCCATTAGCAGTATTTTGTAGTGACATTTCAAATATTGACACACTTATATATATTGAGGGATTTTTTAAAGTCAGATAGCCATTTTGATTTTCCAGTCTGTTTCACCTTTCCTCATTTCTCACTTGCATTTTGGCATCAACTTTTTTTTTTTAAAGAGGAGGAATAATAATTTTCAGACATTTAGGTTAGTAACCTATATTTGAGTAGACTGAGATCTCCTATAAATCTTATTATACGTCTATATTGCAGATGGCAAGAAGTCATTCAAGAAGTCATGGTGGCCTTTCTTTCAGATAGTTTTAATGAATTGACATTTTATTTCTAGTTTAAATTTTTGAAGAGCTATGTAAATGAAGCTGATAAAAGACCTGGAAGCTTTAGTGGTGGAGAAAGTTATTGAAGATGATACAGTTCCAAATCAAAATTGTTTATAGAATATCTCTTTAAATCTATCACTGTCTATTCTGTTACTGATATAGGTTAAGACTAATCACCTTTTTTCTTCTCAATTTTACAGAGTTGTTTGAGAGTTGGAGGCAACCTTGCTGAAGATGAAGAATATACAGTATTAGAGGAGGAGATTTTTTTTTTTCTTTCAACAGTCTTGATTATTTGGTGACTTGCCTCTAGTTACCATTTTTCAGTTGAGTCTGTTTGCTTCATCAGAAATGATTTTTACAATCTCAAGAAAAAATATGTCCCAGAAATTGAGTTTACTGTTGCTTATATTTGGACTCATTTGGGGATTGATGTTACTGCACTATACTTTTCAACAACCAAGACATCAAAGCAGTGTCAAGTTACGTGAACAAATACTAGATTTAAGCAAAAGATATGTTAAAGCTCTAGCAGAGGAAAATAAGAACACAGTGGATGTCGAGAATGGCGCTTCTATGGCAGGATATGGTAAGATAACTATAGAATTTCCTAGTTTTCTCCTTTTATCCCATTTTAAAGATAGTCATGGAAATCCAACTCACTACTTCATGCATAGGTCTTCAGGGTAATTTTTTCTTGACTTTTTATTATGAAAAATTTCAAATTTACTGAAAAATAGAAATATGATAAATAGTCATATGTCCATCACCTCCATTTTAACAATTATTAACATTTTGCAATATTTGTCTAATTTTAAAGACTACTGAAATTATAGAAATTGTGACATTTCACTGCTAGATATTTCCATATCTGTTTCTAAAATAATTACCTTTTTCTACATAATTATAATACTGTTATCATCCTTAGTTCAAATTTACACTTTCCTCATTATCTATTGTGTAACATTTTTGAATTTCCTGAGAAGTAGCATTTGCCTGTATCTCTAGTGTTGTTGCCATTTTTCCTTTCACATCCTCATTTCTTCTGTGTTTTAAGTTCCTTGTGATGCCATGTTCTCTCTTGTCTTTTAAGACTTAGAGAACACTTTGTGTACATATGAGTTGTGGATATTTTTTCTATTTCAGTGATTTCTTTAAAAAATTGAAATTATACATGTATCCATTTAAAGAATCGAAATGTGTTATAATTCTTAAGAAAGGGCAGTTCTTTCCCTCCACAACAGTCCTCAAATTTCCCATTCCTTTGAGCCAGCCATTTAAAATTATTTAATCTGGTTTATTTGTTGATTACCTCCATATCTCTAAATAACATGTTCTATGAGCTACTTCTTGATTTTTCAGTTATAGAAATTATCTGTTAATATCCCACTGTGCAAGGTAGGGGTTCAGTTTTCTTTCTTACCCAGAATTGCATCCCACCCACCCCAGGCTGCATTCACACACACACATGTGTTTCTTGGCCTGCCAATTTCCCATTGTAATTTTTGTTAGAACAGTGTTCATTGTTTGCATTATTACAACTGTGTTGATGGTATTTATTACTGAACCTTGTAGTACATTATAATTACTTTTCCTTTTCTGTACAACTGTTTTTTCCCCTCTAGAATAAGTTTCGATTTTTGTTTCTTTGCCTAGTTTTCTAGCCCAGCTTCCCAACAGCTGTTTAAATTTCTTTTCAGTATATTCAGACACGTTAGGTATTTCATCACTTTCTTTATCTTGAAGAGCCTTTGGATATTTGCTCTGGTCTAGACGGTTTCCTCTCTAGACCTATAGTGGTGAGTAGTTCTAGAATCTCACTCCACCCTCATCCTCTGGATGCCCTTTACCTCTCTCGTGTTGTATCTCCTGTTTCCTAGATTCCTGTGGCTTTCTCTTTATTGGTCAAGTTCTCATTTTAGGGGAACAGATCCTCTGGAAGTTTCCTCAGAAAGATACAAAGGATATAAAAGTTTTGAGTTCCTGCATACCCCCTTACCTTCATGCTTAACTCACAGTTTGAGTATGGAATCCTAGTTTGGGAGTAGTTTTCCCTTGGAATTCAAAGACGTTGGTCTTTTTTTCCCCCTCCTTAGCTTCCAGAGTTCTTTTGAGAATCTGATGCTGTTAAGATTCTTCATCCTTTATATGTGGCCTATTTTGGGGAAGCTTGTAAGATCTTTGTCCCATACTGTTCTGAAATTTCTTGATGATGTGCTTGGGAATGGATTTTTTTCATATATGTGCTGGCACCTCCATTGGGCACTTTAATCCTGACATTTATGTCCTTCAATTCTGGGATATTTTTCTGGGAATAATAATTTTAGTTCTTCCTCTTCTTTGTTTTCATTTTTTCTTTCTGGAATTCTGTTACTCAGTATTGGGCCCTCTGAACTGGTCCTCTAATTTCCCTTTATTGACTTTCCTAGTTTCCATCTCTTTGTCTTTTTGCTTTATTTTTTGAGATATTTCCTCAGCTTTATTTTCAGTTCCATATGGAATTTTTCACTTTGTCTCTCACATTTTTAACATCTAAGAGCTCTGTTTTGTTATTTCCTTAAGGTTATCAGTGATAGCTTTTCTGAAGTGTTCTTATGTTTCTTCCAAATATGTTTGGTGATCCTTAAGGCTTTTTTTTTTTTTTTTCCTAAGAGTGAGACACTGAAAGCTTGGTAGATTGGGAGTGCTGAGTTGTTGGGTGGTATTTACTGTAAGATGATCTAGCTGGGACGTTTCCTTGGGGGAGTGTCCCTAATATTTGTGATGACTTCTGATACTAACTTCTTGGAATTAGGCTAAATTTCACAGATTAAGGGCATAATCTTCTATAATACTGTCCTTACTTCAGACACTAGCTATAAGCTTTGGTGTCTCTAGGCCACTCCCACTGTTGAACAGCCGGCTACAAATTCAGGGGCCTTTGCTGCCCTTCAGGTAAATAATTCATTAGATCAGCTCACGGGACTCACTGAATGTTTTATTATAGCAAAAAGAAAATCAGAACTAGTCAAAAGGAGAGACACACAAGGCAGGGTCTGAGAGGGTTCCAAGATGCAAAGTTTCTGTTGTCTTCTTCTCATGGAATCAGGGCACATTGCCCTCCTGGCATATCAGTGTGTGACAATAGTAAAAGTGTTTCCAACTAGGGAAGCTCACCCAGACTTTGATGTCCAGAGTTTTTATTGGGGTTTCATTTTGTAGGTATGAGTGACTGAATCATTGGCCACATGGTTGAACCCATTTTCCAGGTCTTCTGTCTTTGCTGACTGAAAAGCCCTAACCGTCTAATCACAGGGTTGGTCTTTCTGGCATGGCTAGCCCCTATTCTGAGTCATCTCAGCACAAACTATCTAGGGACCCACTCTGAATCCCCTTTTAATATAAATGGTCAGGTGTGGCCCCAGGGGCCCACCATGAATAACAGTGACACTCCTGTCACTCAGGGAATTCTGAGCATTAATTTTATTAAAAAAAATTTTTTCTTTTTAGTGGAGATACTGGGGATTGAACCCAGGACCTTGTGTATGCTAAGCATGTACTCTACCACTGAGCTATTTCCCTCCCCCAGTTCCCAGCATTTAGAGGCTCCCTCCTAGGAACCTGGGACAAAGGGCAGCCAAATTCTTTATTATATAGTATCAGTGTCTGTTTCTTTCATGTATTCCAATATAAGTGTATTTAGGTCTTTTCTCTTGAGCTGTTCAGATTTCCTAGAGAAGGACTTAGAATCTCTTGCTGAACGTACAGGCCTCCAAGTATTCTGGGATCTGAATGAGAGGAAAAGGGTTCTGGGAGGAAGAGTAGCCTCAGAACTCACTATGTGAACTTTCACTTACTCCCCCAGTTTTCAGTTTGGTACCCAGGCCCTCAACTGCTTTACTGGCTTCTAAAAATATAGCTCAACCCCCTCCGCCCCCCAAAAAACACACACAAAAATACAGCTCAGATTTTCTGCAGTGGAGGTGGGGCTGTTGCCCAGTTTTGGAGAGGTAAAGAGAATGTAGGAGTCAAATTGCTTCACAGGTAAATCTTCACCCAATCCTTCTGATTTTGGTCCCTTTTTCACCCATATTTTCATTGGTACCTGGTGCAACAATTCCTTGGCCTTTTAAGGGTGGGTTTCTGTGGAGAAGAATGAATTGCTTTTTGGTTTTTCATATTTCTCTTTTAAGATCCAAATTTTTCAACTCTGCTAAGTCAGTTAACACTCATCCATCTGCTTTCCAGCTTCTGGAGTTTTGTTGCTGTTGTTTTCTCTCTTGTTACCTTTGGCCTCATGGATTTATGCTTAAAAAGAAAAAGGAAAAGAGAAAAGCACCTTTACTATTTTGGTGGGGTAACCAGAGTCAGCAGAGGTTAAATACCTTTGTTCAGTTTACCATCTTTATCTGGGAATGCCCTGGACACTTACTATTTTTTCTTCTCCTCCTTATAGTGGTCTTTATGAAGTGATGAAGGTTAGTCTGCATTTGCTTTTGGGGATCCAGTTTAGAGGACTAGAGATGAAGGAGTTGGTATAAACGGAATTGGAGGTACTTGCACGTAAAGACAGTTATATTGCTTTGCATTCTGGTTAGTCAGAGGACACAATGAAGAAGCAGTTCTTTTGGAATAAGAGAAATACTTGAAAATTCCTTCTACTTGAGTGAAATAACTGATACTTTAAAAGGCAGCCATCTGCTGTGCTGCCCAGCTGTGTGTAACAACTCACTTTTAAAAGCAAACATGAAAATTAAAGAGTTTGAGATTTGTAGATACTAACTACTATATATAAAATAGGTAAACAACAAGGTCCTACTGTATAGCACAAGGAACTATATTCAATATCTTGTAATAACCTACAATGAAAAAGTATATATATATATATATATATATATAAAATACATATATAATTGAATCACTGTGCTGTACACCAGAAACTAACGAAACATTGTAAATCAACTTTAAATTTTTAAAAAAGCAAAAATGAGACACCTACACATGGTATTTTATAAACTGTATTTTAAAATTTAATATCTGATAGAGATACTTCTATGTCCATGAATATATGCCTGTATCACTTAATGGCCATAGTATTTAACCAATTCTCTGAAACGTTTTTTTACTTATTTCTGCTTATTAAAAATTTATTATAAGCATTCAGATATTATAGAAATATACGACATAGATAAGTAGAACACAGAAAATGTCAGTTAATTTGGCATGTGTCAGGGGTAGCATATTTTTTCTTATAGGGCTAAACAGTAAATATTTTCAGCTTTGTGGATCGTATGATCTTCTTTGCAATAGCATGTCTATGTTCCAATAAAACTTTTTCACAAGCATAAGCAGCCAGATAGTTTGCCACCCATGGTCCAGCACATTGTTTTATTTTGAACAAAAATAGGGTTGTACTGTGGATACTAGTTTGCCAGTTACTTGTTTTCACTTAATTGTAGATATCCTTCCATGTTATTACAGGTAGGTCTGTCTCATCCTTTGTAATGACTTAATATTGTTTCATTTTATAAATTGTTTTCCCACTTTTTGTGTAGTGATGGGTAATTTTTTGGTAACCTTGTGTGTTTGATTTAATGCTGCAGTGTATGT